GGATTCAGTTTAGATTCATTACCAACAACAATATGTTGAATTTACCTATAGGGGCCTAATAATTTAAAATTTAATCCTCGGAGGAGCGTTCCTGAGAGTGCCGAGAGAGCAAGTTGATCATAGAGTTCTTCAGAGATAACTAGGTTAGAAGGCTGAAATCAATTATGTTAATACAATTAACTATTATAAATAGCGCCAAGAAGGCAACCATGCAGTTAAGCGCGCACATTATTTGGTTGTCTACTGAGCCGTTTTTCTGTATGTTTAAATAAACTCTAACGTCTTAAATCAAAATTTCTTTTGATTTTAAGTGAGTATAGTACCCTAACCACAGTTATAGAAACCATTTAGTCCATGTTACCTCTATCTAGCTTCGATAAATAAACACCTGAATTTCCATAACAACCGCCATTATTTGCGTAATATAAAAATTGCCTAAGGATGCCAGGCTAGCACCACTTGGAATCGTGTATAATATCATTCGAAGATATACAAACTGCAAAAGAAACTTTGTGGGGGTCCTAATGCAACGTTCTCACACAAACCAAAATCTCATTGCTGAACTCGCTATAAGACCATCCCAAACATCGAACGACTACGTGTGGTTGCCATTAGTTGAATATGTGTTTGGCGACATTTGGACTCGCGCACCACCACACGAGCGCACACGCCAACGCACGGACACGCACGCGCGTACGCACGCACGCGCACACAAATCTCATTATTTTATATATAATACCATAAACACATCTATAATATAGACATGTTAACGATAGCATAATACTTATAATAATTATTATGCACGTATGAAACAGCCGTATAACGTTTCCTTTAGCACCAACATTTTATAGGTTGATGTCCAGTCGATGGTACATCTAAACTCTGTTCATGCGTTGCGTCACTTTTATTCTGAATTTCGTTGTATACTTTGAACAAAGCGCTTCCTCTTACAGACTTACACTACGTGAAATGCAGTTTGAATGTAGTAAGATACGCGAAATGATGTTACCATACGCGAATACGATGTTACCATAGAGTACACTTTACGTGCTTGCTCGAAAATATTAAAGTGACGCGCTAGGTGGCAGCACGATGCAATCCCTAAAATTATGCCACATTGCCGGCCTAGAACACACACACGCACGCACGCACGCACGCACGCACGCAC